TGGGCAAGATGCACGGATATTCCTCGTGTTTCATCGACTCGCTTCACCCTATACACAACTGGCGACAGTTGTGAGCAGATGGTACATGGTCCTTGCCACGGTAAGAACAGCTTCGGATTTGGTTCATCTAGACTAGTCTTTATCCTGGTGTGGTCGATATACGAGTACTTGTTGACCAGGTTTAAAGACGGGGTACTGCGGTAACTTTTTTCGTTTTTCGCAGCTTGCTTCTCTGCACGTTCCGTGAGGTTTCTTCGCGCTAGTTCGAAAGCGATTTGTAGATTTTCCCGCGTTTTTTGAGCAAAACTCTCGGTATCTGCAGCTGATCCTACATGTGGGATTCCGAGAATTACATCTACCGGTAACCGTGCTTGGCGACCAAACATCAAGAGGTACGGTGTCTCATGCATGGTTTTATCAAACGACGTATTACACGCACGCTAGTTGAACCATTGGCAGGAAATCCGCCCAGTTGTCACGATTCATGGAGCTATGCATTGCGAGCATGGAATGCATCGTTGAATGCACACGCTCAGAGACCGAATTACCTTGCGGACGATACGGCGTCGTGCGTGTTTTCTTGTAGCCCAAGATTGTCTGCAACTGATAGATTATCTTGTTTTCGAATGCAGTGCCATGATCAAAGTGCAGCATTTCAGGCGGGCCAAAGATACTGATAATCCAATCAATGATTACACGTGCTACCGTTTCAGCAGTTTTGTTTGGAACTGGTGTGAGAATTGCATAACGCGTCAGTCAGGTGGTGCATCATGGAAAGCACGTTTGTATTTGCATCTCACTCCGACTGCTGAAATTGAGAGTGATTTGTACTCGACTAAGTCGACTGATACTCTTTCAAACGGCCGCTGTACAGGTTCGTGACCCGTCGGCAGTTTCGGACGGCGGTGAGGCGTCTTTCTCCGTTGACAGGCCTGGCATTCTAGGCACCAAGTAAGTCCGGATGTCACGGTTCATTGACTGCCACCAATATTTTTGTCGTATTTTTTCGTAAGTTGGACGAAATGCGAGGTGTCCACCTGAAAGAGGGTGATCATGGTATGCGTGCATCACTAAACCGGTGAGGTCATGTGGGACTACAAGTTGATCACTAAAAGTGCTTCGTTTTCGTAGGTGTCCTGGCAGATACGATTTAAACAGTAAACCGTCTTGTATGGAATGGTACGACATTGATGTTGCCGTTTCGTTGTCTGGTAGCGGTGCTCTGGCGTCTATAATGTATTGGACATATTCATTCGCCGTATTCTTCGGCTTGTTTCTCGCGCAATTTCTCATGCTTAACAGATAGATTCAAATACTTCCGTGGCGCTGACGAAATTTGAATTGACTGTGAATAATTCCCTAGCACTAAGGAGTGGTTGCACATTATCCAATTTGTCAGTCGAGACTTGGTATGGTCTGTTTGGCATGTGTTGTTGCAGCTTTGGACAGTCCGGTACATTTCGGTAATTCGGTGCAAGTCTCGGCGCAGTTCGTTCTTGTTCATTGTCGAACACGAAAAGTCGCGATGACGTATCCGGCACTACATGCAACTTTCCCGGTTTGTGTTTTACCGTAAAATCGAAGGATTGCAGTGCTATTGCCCATCTAGTGAACATATTTGACGTGTCTTGCATCGTAAAAAGATATCGCAATGCCGCATGATCAGTTACGCACGTAACATGTCTAGTCTACCCGACCGATAAATACGGACGCCAGTGTTGAATTGCTAGAACAACAGCAAAGCATTCTTTCATGGTGGCAGAGTAGTAGTGTTGTTGGCTTTTTTTGAATCGCTGGCGAAAGTATGCTACGATATTCACGTCATCGCCATTCTGTTGTGCCAGGAATGCTCCTGCTCCCACTTCAGATGCGTCTACGTGGATAACAAACTCTTTAGAAAAGTCCGGAAATGTAAAACAGGAGCGTTGGTGAGTAATCGTTTCACTTCGGCAAATGCTTCATGATGTGTCGGACCCCAGTTTCAAGGAGTGAAGCCGTGGGCGGTAGCTTGCTCCTAGGAATTGATGAAGGTTCTGTCGTTGACACGCTTGTCCACGACCACGTTGAGATGGGAAAGTTGTTCGTTATTGCTGAGATACGATCAGCAAAGGTCTGGGATGAAGTGGGGATCCAACGTCATCTCAGGGGGTACACAGAGTAGACAATTCTAAAGGGGTAGGGGTCAGAAGGGTATACCTCCTGACCGACCCGCATCCTATCAAGAATAAGATGTACCCTATTCATGCTAGCAGCCACACTCCTTAACACTAGCCCACCCTGAATATCATATATGCAGATTCTATACTCAAATCAATGCTCAAATCCTAGTCTAAAGCATAATTAAGATTTTAGCTGATGATTTATGATCATGAATCGAAGATATGACTCTTCACAAAACATCCAAAAGGAGGGTGAGTTGTAGAAATATCCCGAATCAATCCCCCACACCATCATTGAGATGAACAATGCGAACGGTCACGAGACGGAACATCGACATCTCAATGACAAAGCTTGAAGGGATAAAGCTACGAAGAATATATATTGCGGCAGAGCACGCTATCATCCTGAACAGACGACGACAGGGAAAAAAATCAATATCCAGACGCCACACACCACTCTTTTCTGCGCACCCGCGCGTATCACTGCTGGAGGAATGAGGGTGACTACCCGAGAGAGTCCAAAATATGGTGACGAAACTCAAAACCCATCCAAATTTCCGAACGAATACGGCCTTTGATACTGGACGC